CCCCCCCTTTAACTGAATCAATTTGAGGATGTGCATCAAATTAAAGCATTTCTCAATTGTGTTCTCCACACTAGGCTTTTAGTTTGCTACAAAATTAATTGAATTGTAAATTATAAATTTCTAGAATTCATTTTTCTAAACTGTGAGCTCCCACCTGCAGTCTCTGCCATGTACTATGGTTTCTGAGAAGGTGTTTCTGGCTATCTCGTTGCTCTGGTTTAGACAGAAGATGGATGGATGGAGAAATGGAGAGAGGAAGAGAGAGAGAGAACTGACTCACAGCAAGCTTATTGCAACAGAACAAAACCTTGCTCAGTGCGATGTTATGTTCAGAACGGCTGGCATGATTGAATCCATGGCTTTAACTACTTTCTTACCTCTCTCATTGAGGATGTCCTTTGTCTTTCACCAAATGTGATGTCCTCCTCTAACAATAGATTGATCTCACCTGACAACATGGTGACCAAGTACGTTGAGGTGAACAACGCTTTTCTGTGATTTGCTAGATTTTCATCAACTAATTTTGAAAGTAGACTACCATGCATTTCTTCCTATTCGGTCCCACTTTGGAAGCTCCACCGAAACTTGTCCATCATGGGTGACCCTGCTGATATTTAAAGCATGGGTAACATAATTTCCAGTGCCATAGCAACATGGAGTGATTACCCAAGTTCAGCTCCTTAAAAAATGTTCACTCGTAAAATGATTTAATGAAAAAATACATATGCACTCTTTGAGGGCACTTGGCAGTGATAGCCAGGCACCATTTAGTTCTTCTGGTTATAGAGTCTTGAAGACTGGTCTCTATGTGGCCTGTTAGTCCACTGGACTAATTATTTCCATCCTGGATAGAGTGGGAGAACAATATGGTACACAATTCAAAATCATTTTAAAAATGCTTATTGGCTTGACAGAGATTGGTGGAAGCACTGAGGCTACAGACATAGTCATGCTTCAGGTGTGGAAATTAACTCATTCCCATGGTTCAATTTTCAGCCAAAGAATAAGCAGGTTTATAAGGGGAACTGTAACACTAAGAAGGTATGCATTCTTTGGAATAACCAACTATCTGAAATCAAAAGGACAACATTTACCCAAAGAGAATAGTCAACTATTTGAGATCAAAAGGAAAGCATTTACCAGAGGACAAAGTTCAGTACAGTTAGGAAAGGATGAAGAATAAAAATGAGAATCGTGAGGCGGAAGTTGGCTAAGGGATGTTTCATTGTTGGTATTGTAATTGTTGAGATAAGATTGAAAAAATGGGTATGGAATAATGGAAAACAGACTTGTATTCCTCTGTAAATCTTCATGCAAATGCACAGTAAAACATTTGAAGGAAAAAAATCAAAGGAAAACCACCTATCTGATAATGATATAGGTTTCATTTGAACCAGAGACAACTAGAGTGACCGAGATCCGGCACTTGCACAGAGTATAAAATGCTTGACGTGGAGTCAGTTCTGACTCACAGTCACCCAGAAGGACAGAGTAGACTATGCCTTAAGGATTTGGCCACTGTAAATCTTGATAGGAAGAGACAGCTTCATCCTTCTTCTAAGGAGTGGTTGCTGAACCACCAACCTAGCAGTTAGCAACTCTATGCTTAACCCACAGTTCCTCTAGGGTTCCTGTACCATGTATAAGATTCAATCTCTGGATCTTGAAAAACTATGGCATTACTCCTGTGATTAAAACCAGATAATAATAATCAAAAAAACATATCAGTGCAGCACATGTAGATTTCCTTGACATCTCATCAAGTGCGAAAAGAATCATCCACATGTTGCAAGCAGATTTGGCTTCTTGTGCCTTTGGGGTCCCCACCAGGGACCCAAATCAGTCATCATATCTCAGGCTGTGAGGATGAGTTGTAACAAGTTAGGTGCGATTCCCATTAAGAGCACATGGCAGGGCCTTCCTTATGGCAAACACTGGGATGAAGATTTGGGGGAACTCACCAGCACCGACTTTTGTGGGGCACAGTCAAGTACTGTGGCACCAACATCCCTGCAAGCAAGCTAGCTGTGGGGCACAAGAGTAACCTGGTTTCCAGGATGTGAGTGTCCAGATCTGTCGGAAGCTCTGCCATGGAAAACAATGGATGTGCGCAGTAACTGAACAGCTCATGAAATGCCAGCCTTAACAAAGCTCTTGCTTCCTCCTGTTACCAGTGGGTTTTATTCCTAATCTAATTACAGAAAGATAAATTGTGCTTTCAAACAGAATGCCAAGAAACCTATTCTTTCCTACAGCCATTTTAACAAAGGCTCTTATTTGTTTGACTAAATGTTTTCAAACAATTCCAAACTCAAAACCAACCAAACTCACTGATATGGAGTCAATACCAACTCATAATGACCTTATAGGACAAGGTAGAAATGCCTCTGTGGGTTTCTGAGACTGTATAAGAGTGGAAAGCCTCATCTTTCTCTCTTGGAGCAGCTGGTGGTTTTGAACTCCTGACCTTGTGCTTAGCAGGCCAACATATAACCCATTGTGATACCAGGAGTTCAAACACACCAATCATTCCTTTATTCAGCAGCATTTAAGAGCCTGATTTTTCAAACAACTAATGACCATTTATAGAAACTAGCAGAAAATTTTAAAAGCAATGTATTTCTTTAAGAGGAAGAAGCTTGTAAAGAACTGATAGTAAAGTGGCCTTTTTTTCAAAACTCAACTAATTTCTGTCTTCAGTTGCTGTTGTTAGGTGCTGTAGCGTTGGCTCCAACTCATAGCAACCTACATACAAACAGAATGGAAAAACCCTGGGTAGTCCTGAACCATCTTCACAATTGTTGTATTTGTGCCTATCTTTGTAGCCACAGTGCTAATCCATCTTGTTAAGGGACTTCTCATTTCACTGACCCTCCACTTCACCAAACATAATGTCAGTTTGTTGTATTGTGGTGGCTTGTGAGTTGCTATGATGCATCATATAAAAAAGATGCTATGACCATCATATAAAAACAATAACAGGGTCACCCAAAGGGAATGGGGCCAGCTTCCAGTCCAAGACTATTAATGAAGGAATGGGCTGCACATTGCCAATGTGGACAACTACTGAAAACCTTATGAATACAGTGGAACATTGTCTATCTTTAGGAGGAGCGGGAAAAGTGAGTAATTAAGTAGCTCATCTATGACAAGATTAAATCAGAACATGGGCTTTAATTTCTGAATGTTATACATGAGTGACTACCGCTGTAATTCCAATTCTCTTTACCAATTTCAGAAGAAATGTTAGGTTCCCACTCCCATAGTCTTGGAAACCCTCAGCTGCAGTGCAGCCTTGTGCTGAGGAGTCACTATGGGTCAGCTTCAGCTCAAGGAAGGTTTTTTGTTCTTTTTATTTTTTAGCTTTCCAATTTATCAGATATAATGATCTCAAGATTTGGCTACAGCATTTACAATAACCCCCCTTTAAAAAAATCATTTTATTAGGAACTCTTATAGCATTCCATACATCAATTGTATCAAGCATATTTCTACATATGTTGCCATCATCATTTCCAAAACATTTTCTACTTGAGCCCTTGATATAAGCTCCTTTTTTTCCACTCCCTCCCCCATCCTTCTACCCTCATGAATCCTTGAAAATATATTGTCATTATAATTTCATATCTTACACTGTCTGTTGTCTCCCTTTATCCACGTTTCTGTTATTCAACCCCTTCGGAGTGGGGGAGCTATATATCCAACCTTGTGATAGGTTCCCCCTTTCTCCCTTTTCCTCTTCACCATCCCTCTACCCACATGATATCGCTACTTCTACTACTGTTCTTGGGGGGCTTATCTGTCCCGAATGCCATGTGTCGAGAGCTCTTATCTGTACCAATGTGTGTTCTCTGGTCTAGACAGATTTGTAAGTAGAACTGGGTCACAGTAGTGTTGGGGGGTGGGGTGAGAAGCATTTAGGAATGAAAGCTGTGTGTTTCATCGGTGCTACACTGCACCT